AAAAGTGAAAACAAGGTGGAAGGATGCAGTGAAAAAAGAGAGGCGATGGTAGCCCATGGCACTAGGTTGGCGAGCTAGCGGGCAAGGGGGACGAGGTAAGAAGGAGACGCGTGCATTCTACCCCACTAGGACTCTAGGGCGAGCTCAAGCCGCCCCAGTGCCATGTGCTACCATCGCCACGCGCCAGAAACCCCCAATTCAACTTTTTGCCCCTCCCATGCGGAAATGAAGTTTTGGTTATGAGCATGCGGTGAGAGAACAACGCGTTACAAAAATGAACCAAAGACAGAAAGCGGTCGGTCAGGATGGCAAGAGGGTGAGTGAGGGGATTCAGAGGTGACTTAGCAGCGATACGACGGGTTGAGCGACGGAAGCAGCAGAAATCGCTCCCAGCAGCAGCCCTCCCAGCAGCAGCAGCGCCAGTGGAGCCCGTTTAGCAGGGCATGCAGGACGCAGGCCGTGCGTCATCCCACTGGCCTCCCTCCTGGAACAAGGGCATGGGCTGGTGAGAGGGAGAATAAAGGATACGGGACGCAGGAAACTGGTCGAGGATGGAATAAAGCCATGGAAAAGGATCACCAGCGACAAATGAAGCAAAGGAAGGGCAAACTGGAAGAATTGAAAAGCGAAAACAAGGTGGAAGGATGCAGTGAAAAAAGAGAGGCGATGGTAGCCCATGGCACTAGGTTAGCGAGCTAGCGGGCAAGGGGGACGAGGTAAGAAGGAGACGCGGGCGTGAGTGTGAGTGCATTCTAGTCCCCTAGGACTCTAGTGTGAGCTCAAGCCGCCCCGGTGCCATGCGCTACCATCGCCACGCGCCAGAAACCCCAAATCAACTTTTTGCCCCTCCCATGCGGAAATGAAGTTTTGGTTACGAGCATGCGGTGAGAGAACAACGCGTTACGAAAATGAACCAAAGACAGCAAGCGGTCAGGATGGCAAGAGGGTGAGCGAGGGGATTCAGAGGTGACTTAGCAGCGATACGACGGGTTGAGCGACGGAAGCAGCAGAAATCGCTCCCAGCAGCAGCCCTCCCAGCAGCAGCAGCGCCAGTGGAGCCCGTTTGGCGCGTGAAGGAGTGGCGTGGTCAGCAGGGCATGCAGGACGCAGGCCGTGCGTCATCCCACTGGCCTCCCTCCTGGAACAAGGGCATGGGCTGGTGAGAGGGAGAATAAAGGATACGGGATGCAGGAAACTGGTCGAGGATGGAATAAAGCCATGGAAAAGGATCACCAGCGACAAATGAAGCAAAGGAAGGGCAAACTGGAAGAATTGAAAAGCGAAAACAAGGTGGAAGGATGCAGTGAAAACAGAGAGGCGATGGTAGCCCATGGCACTAGGTTGGCGAGCTAGCGGGCAAGGGGGACGAGGTAAGAAGGAGACGCGGGCGTGAGTGTGAGTGCATTCTAGTCCCCTAGGACTCTAGTGTGAGCTCAAGCCGCCCCGGTGCCATGCGCTACCATCGCCACGCGCCAGAAACCCCAAATCAACTTTTTGCCCCTCCCATGCGGAAATGAAGTTTTGGTTACGAGCATGCGGTGAGAGAACAACGCGTTACGAAAGTAAATCAGAGACAGAAAGCGATAAGGATGGCAAGGGAGCGAGCAAGGGGTTGAAGTGGGGACTTAGCGGTATGAGGGGTTGCTGAGCGACGAGAGCAGCAGCCAGCGTTCGAAGTTGCAACAGGATGCATCGCCGTCGCCATCGCATTGAGCGTCGAATTCGCCTTCACCACCATCTATCGTCGCCGGGAATCTTCGCCGTCGTCACAAAAACGCTGCCTTGATCGCCATACAACGGCGACTCGACCGTCAGCATCAACCAACACGTCGCAGTTGTCAGCCTTCCACCATTCTGCCTTGATTGTCTACATCTCAGTCGGCAACGTGAGATTTCGCGTCTTGAAGTGGCCTCGTCCCCGCCAGAACTCGCAGTCAGCACGAATCGTCGCCGTAAGATATCGCGATCTCAACATCAGAATCCGCCTAATCGTACGATCGCAGTCATGAAAGGGATTTCGCGTCTCGATCGTCATCCAGCCGGCAACGTGAGATTGCGTCTCGGTGTTCAATCGTCCCGGTTACGAAGGCTCCAATCGTCACCGTCCAAACTCCGCAGGCGCATGATATCGTCGCAATCGGAACTCCGCAGGCGCATGATATCGTCGCAATCAGAACTCCGCAGGCGCATGATATCGTCGCAATCAGAACTCCGCAGGCGCATGATATCGTCGCAATCAGAACTCCGCAGGCGCATGATATCGTCGCAATCAGAACTCCGCAGGCGCATGATATCGTCGCCATCAGAACTCCGCAGGCGCATGATATCGTCGCCATCAGAACTCCGCAGGCGCATGATATCGTCGCAATCAGAACTCCGCAGGCGCATGATATCGTCGCAATCAGAACTCCGCAGGCGCATGATATCGTCGCCATCAGAACTCCGCAGGCGCATGATATCGTCGCCATCAGAACTCCGCAGGCGCATGATATCGTCGCAATCAGAACTCCGCAGGCGCATGATATCGTCGCAATCAGAACTCCGCAGGCGCATGATATCGTCGCCATCAGAACTCCGCAGGCGCATGATATCGTCGCAATCAGAACTCCGCAGGCGCATGATATCGTCGCAATCAGAACACCGCATCGGAATCGCCTTGGTCACCAACTCCATCAGACTTCTCCGCTTCGGTTTCGCCTTTCGCCGTCAACGCAGCTGCCGTCATCACCCCGTCACCGTTGGATCATAATCGACACCATGATCAGAAGACGTCAACCGTCACCGTCAGAAGAACATCGTCACCCTCAGATCTCCCAGAATAACCACTTTCCACCATCTGAAGACGGATCATCACCTTTAAAGCTCCTCATCGGAATATCAACCGTCAGAAATGTCTCGATTGTCGCCGTCATAATCTCTATCGTCGTCGACAGAACTCGCCGTCCAAATAAACCGTCTCGTATCACCGGTTCCGATGTAAGAAATTATTGTCATTGTCGCCGTGCACATGAACGGCGTCAGTCTGAAACAGCGGTATAGCCGTTGTCAAGTGAACCATGCTTTTAGGAGGTGAAGAAGAGATGAGAGGCATAAGAACCGGATTCACCTCGCGAAACATCACGTCACGAACCGCATCCGACAGCCTTCGGCAGAAATTTTTCAATGATACTAGGATCACCGTGGTGCTTCGGAAAACGACCTGATGCTAGCTCTTTGCGACGAACGCCTAAACGAACGTAGTTGCACTATATCATAAACAAATACGACTATGACTATGATTGCGATAACGGTAGACGACAGGCACGGACTAGCTTACGAAACGAGCCGAGCCGTGAGAATCCACGGATACGCTAGACCATGAAACTCCAACAGAGGTGCTCTGAATGGCTAGAGAAACCACAAGAGATACTGAAACTTATCTGAGAAAAAAAATAATATCTATACCTAGTTAATGGTTGGTAATGGAACTTCAGGCGACAGCCATGGATTCTAAGAATTCGAAGTAGACTAATGTGCAGGATTCCGAGCAAGAATGTAGAAGGAATGACGTTCAGGCAGTGGTTAGAGAAGTTCAGTGAAGCAGTTCCGGGAATGAAGAGAGATCCAGAGCGGTTTTCAGGGATTCACTGAAGCGAGAGGTGAGACGAATGGTTGAAGCAGCACCAAGCTCAAGGTCCAAGGACGAAGCATTTGCTCCCCTTTCCCTGGTGTGGTGCAGGCCGCCGTACCGTCGGCGGACAGCCTCAATTTCGTGAACCAAGAGCCTTTCGCTTGGGGGATGATTGATTAGCGAAGTTTTGGACAGGTTTCGTGAATATAGTTACAGCATCTCCGCAGCGCGGGTGTATCATGGTTCCGCCTGTTTGCGCGGGAAACAGTTCCACATGTCTGACAGACGCGCATGGCTGTTCTATGCGGGGGATCGGGTGATCGAACGAATGAGCTGAACTTCAATATAGTGCTTTAGTGCAGCAAGTCTAATCTAATATGAAGTTTTTATAAATTGCTAAATGTATATCATGAAGCTGCGTGTAACACAGCAATGCCAACCTAATGCAAGGCGAGTCGGTTGATCGAACGGATTACTTGAACTTCAATATTATGGAATTCAGTGGTATACGTCTACTCGAATATGAAGTTTTTCGAATTGTATATCATGAAGATGAAGCTGCTTGTAATGGCAACGTCAAAGTGCTACCTACCGGTATACAGTCTTCGCCAGAATAACAGGCGGCAAAAGCCATTTGGCCTACACCCACGATTTCGCTTGAAAATTCAAGTGTGTTACTTCCTGCCCACCCACCCTAATGCATGTTGTAATATATATACTAGTTGGACGAGAATGTTCTACAGTACGAATGTGGCACACAGGTGTGCAGTCACATGCGCCACCACCTGACACAAGTTTCGAAACCACGCCTCGCCCCACTGCGCCTCTCTGAGTCGAACCTGCCTGCCTGTAGGTTTTTAAAGCCCATGCCTTCTCATCTCATCTGATCTGAGCGTCTCTGAACCACTATGCAAGCAACCGGCCCTCCCTCATACGAAGATCACTTCTAGCCGAGCACAGGGGTGTGCAGTCACATGCGCCACCACCTGAAACGAGTTTCGAAACCACTCCTCGCCCCACAACGCCTCTCTCTGAGTCGAACCTGCCGGCCGGGTATATCCTGTAGTTTTTCAAAGCCCATGCCTTCTCGTCTGAGCGTCTCTGCATCACTAAGGAACCGGCCCTCCCTCATACGAAGATCACTTCTAGCCGAGCACAGGGGTGTGCAGTCACATGCGCCACCACCTGAGACGAGTTTCGAAACCACGCCTCGCCCCACAACGCCTCTCTCTGTGTCGAACCCGCCGGGTATATCCTATAGATCTTCAAAGCCCAAGCCTTTTCATCCCCTCCAAGCGACGCCGGCCGCTTCCCCACCCACACTGGTCGGTACGTCTTTTTCTGAAAGCTGCGTCTTATAGCTAAAGAGAGTCCTCTTATAGTGAGGTGGTCACTGCGCAAGAACACTGAGGTAAAGTGGAACGTCCCCCGTTCTCTCACGTACAGGTGGTATACCACCAGCTTCTCCCCCTTGCGCTTCCCCGGCGCCTCGCACCGGCAAGGGCGGCGGGTTTTGGCAGCATCCAGGTCCTTTCTCCGGATCCGGTCTGCAAGGAAAATACAGAGGCGGCAGGAGGAGTGCACGGCTGATAGATCCATATTAGCTATAAACGCCTGGGAAGGCCCGTCTTTCTTCCACGCGAGCATCTCATCATACGCCGTCTGGTTACCAGCGAGCATAACCATCTGCTGCGCCACCCTCGGCACATCCTCCAAAGATTTGATTTCCAGGTAGGAGTTCGGGGAGGGCGCGAAATCGGCTATGTTGGGGGCGCCGATGACGACGGGGATAGAGCCGGCGACCAGGCACTGCCAGTACTTCTCAGTGACGTAGTCGGCCTCACAGGTGTTCTCGAATGCGAGAGAGAAGAAGTGCTGGGCCAGCACGGGCAGCTTGTCGGTTTCGTACGGCTTGTTGTTGAGACAGCGGCCGTATGAGTGCACCTCCATGTGCCGACTGAGCTCCTTTACTGCCTGGTGATGGGATGGGCATGGGGAGAGAAGGGAAGAGAAGGCATGGAACATGAGATGCGGCAGAGAGGGGTGCGCATGGTATTTCACATCGAGCCTGAAGTTGTTGACATGGCAGTTGTTGATGAACGCGGAGGATGAGAGAGGTGGAGAGCGGTGGAAGGGGTGGAGAATAGTGGAGAGGGGTGGAGAGGGGCAGAGAGGGGTGGAGAGGGGCAGAGAGGGGTGGAGTGGGTTGGGAATGGCATGTCACCTCGAGCCTGAAGCTATTGGCGCGGCAGTTACTGATGAATGCAGCAGCGAGAGCAGAAAGAGAGGGGTGGAGAGCGGTGATGAGGGGTAGAGAGGCATCTTACTTCGAGTCTGAAGCTGTTGGCGTGGCAGTTGCTGATGAAGGCAGCAGCAAGAGCCGAGGCGGTCTTGTTTACAGGCGGGCGCATGACATCATACTCCTCCCATGATCCGTACTGCACTGGCCCGTCTGAGTCGTGATGCACTGTCATCACCACCTGGAGAGGGAGTGAGTGAATGAGGGAGAGAGGGAGTGAGGGAGGATGCAAGGAGGGTGCATGACATCATACTCCTCCCACGACCCATACTGCACTGGAACGTCTGAATCATAGTGCACTGTCATCACCACCTCTAGAGAAACAAGCAGTTTGGTAAAATGGGAAAGAAAGGAGGGCGCATCACTTTGTGCTCCTCCCATGACCTGTACTGCACTGGCACGTCTGGATCGTAGTTTATTGTCATCACCACCCAGCTCACTGCCTCCCCACCACACACTCCTCACACCCACCCCTCGCTCCCTCATACTCACTGCATTTTCCCTATTAGCCCGCCCCACCACACTCACCACACCCATCCCACTCTCGCTCACAGCAGGGTCACTGTGCGCCCATGCAGGGTTGTTGCTCGCATGGTACCCCCGTGGCTCCATGGATCGCAGCACCGCTGCTTCCTTGCTTCACAGATCCCCATTGCATCTTACTGCACCCCACTGCACCCCACTGCACCCCAATGTACACCACTGAATCCCACTGCACTTTACTCAAACCTCTCACGCACAGCATGATCCTTGTGCGCCCATGCAGGGTTGTTGCTCGCATAGTACCCCCTTGGCTCCATGGATCGCAGCACCGCCTTGTGCCGAGGCACGTTGCCCGCCAGGCTGGCGTCCAGATCCGCCGGGCGGCGCTTGCCGACCATCTCGCACGGCACGTCGCACGGGTACCTACGCGGGATCTGATTAGAGGGGAGGGAGGGGTGGAGGTGGGGGGAGGTGGAGGGATGATACGAGGGGGAAATAGGGGGATAAGGCTATCACCGGATAAATTTGCATGTTTGCGCCCTTCATGCCATCATGCCATCATGCCATCATGCCATCATGCTATCATGCTGTCATGATATCATGCCATCATGCCATCATGCTATCATACAATCATGCCATCATGCTATCATGCTATCATGCCATCATGCCATCATGCTATCATACCATCATGCCATCATGCTATCATGCCATCATGCTATCATGCTATCATGCCATCATGCTATCGTGCCATCATGCTATCATGCCATCATGCCATCATGCTATCATGCCATCATGCCATCATGCTATCATGCCATCATGCCATCATGCTATCATGCCATCATGCCATCATGCTATCATGCTATCATGCCATCATGCCATCACGCCATCACGCCATCACGCCATCATGCTATCATGCCATCATGCCATCATGCCATCATGCTATCATGCCATCATGCTATCATGCCAGCATGCCATCATGCCATCATGCCATCATGCTATCATGCTATCGTGCCATCATGCTATCATGCCATCATGCCATCATGCCATCATGCCATCATGCTATCATGCCATCATGCCATCATGCCATCATGCCATCATGCCATCACGCCATCACGCCATCATGGTATAGAATGGGACCAAATACTTGCTGTGCTTCTCCATGCTCTTCATGCATGCACTTACCACTTCCACTCTTAATAAATCGTGGACCAGCCCCCTCCAATCTTCATGAGTGGGTGGCCTTACCTCATATGCCATCACTGCAATTGGCTGCTTCTCAAAGTCCCTCCCAAACGCCACGTCATCAGCCTCCTGCAGCCACGAGCGACACGTCAGCCCGTCAGGAGCGCCCTGCAGTGGGGACCACTCGGACGGCTCGTCCAATGGGGACTGCCAAACCGGCTCCCCCTCCCCTTCCCCCTCCTCCTCGTTCGCTCCCCCACTCTCTCCCCCCCTGCCGCTCCCTCTGCCCTCACCTTCCCCCGCTCCCCCTTCCGCCATCCCCCCTTCGTCCACCCCCATGTCGTCTCCACTCCCTGTGAAAAACGTGTCCCCCCCGCCGCCCTCTCTCCCGCCCTCCCCGTCGGCCATCCCCGCGCTAGGCTTACCCTCCCCCCTCCCCCTGACCTCGTCCGCTTCCCCCCCTCCCCCTCCCCCGATCGTCATCCGTTCTCCTGCCGTGCCACGTGTCCTCATTTACAAGCACCTCCTGGCCGCTCTGCATCCCGTCCACCATCCAATCATCATCGCCGCTCCTCAGCTCCATGCCTTTCCGCTCCGCCTCCTCCCCCCTGCCTCCCCCGTCCCCCCCGCTCTCCGCGTCTACTATCAACGGCCGAGTCGTTTTAGTCCCGTCCACCATCCAATCATCGTCGCCGCTCCGAAACTCCACGCCCGTCCGCTCCGCCTCCTCTCGCCCCTTTCCCCCGCGCCCTGTGCTCTCCTCATCTACTAACAGAGGCCGAGTCGTCTTTGTTCCATCCACCATCCAATCATCATCGCCGCTCCTAAACTCTACGCCTTTCCGCTCCGCCTCCTCGCCTCCGCCGCCGGCGAATCTCCGAGTCGCTTCGCGCGGTTCCGAGTCGTCCTTCGCATCGATGCCGCCGCCAGCGAATTTCCGCACCCACTTGCGCTCGTCGCCCGCGTATCCCGAGGCGCCACGCGAAGCTTCGTAGGTCCGCGGGCCGCCGAGGTGAATCGAATCCGCGTCGGCCTCCCGCTGCGCGCTTCCCGCGCCGCTTGCGCTGAACAGCTTCGTCAGATCGTGGCCGTTCGATTGGCCCTGGGCAGCCGTCGCGGCGCTCTGCCGCTGCGCGTCAGATCGCGAGGAGAATTTAAGCTTGAGAATATAAAGACCTTGTGCGACGACGAGTAGCAGCAGCAGGCGGCCGCACAGCTGTCCGCTGCCGCCGCCACGCCCTGGCGCGCCCCGGTGGTGCGACGCGGATGTGCCCCTGTGCGCCTGCGCGACGCCACGATGGTGCTGCGACGACGGGCGATTGGATCGCGACATGTGTGCGACCACAGCGAGCAGCAAGGTGTTACGATTGAGCGCGTACGCTCATCATCGGACAAAACCGAGGTCGTGGCATTTGGAAGTTAGGGGGGTTGGTGGGCAGAGGGGGCGCGACAGAATCTAGGTGTTCTGAGTCCGAGAAACTGTTTTCTAGGTTGCTCCTTTTGGATGGCCTATCAATTCGATAGAGGGAGCATGAGAGAGCGATGAAGGGTTGTCATGTAAGTACAATATAATGCAAATCTTTATACTTCAATCAAGATCTACTTACAGAAAAATTGGTATTTAACGATTATCGCATGCATAACTAATGACAAATGGATGCAATCCACGAGTAGCTAACGAAGGGTTTGAGCGCACAATTCTATTCTACCGTAGTTAATGTGGAAGAGATTGGTACAAGTACAGAATGACTAAGACTGACTCAACTCAAGCCACCAGCCATGAGCGATAATGCAGGCTGCCAAGAGGGATTGGTCATGATACAGGCAGCAGCCATGGGTCAGAACACACCAGCCATGGCACTTACATTTAGCCACTACGCCCACCGTCAAGCAATACTCAATTTGCTAACTTGGAGCAAATCCCAGCTGCCCGACTTGTAGCAAATCCCAGCTGCCCGACTCGAAGCAAATCCCAGCTGCTCAAGCAGCAGCCTCTACCTGAACGGACGCCTCATTCTCACCGCTCTTGGCGCATTCCCTCTCCCCCAGTGCGGCCCTCAGCCTGCTCCGCAGCTCCCCACTCAGCCTCAGCGACTCCGCCACGCTCTCCGATTGCCACCCTTCCTCGATTTTGCTTGGCGCCGCGCTGCCGGAACCGGCGGACGCCGACTGCGCCACTCTTTCCGCCAGCGTTGCGCGGATTCCGCCCGCGCTGTCCCCCGCGCCTGCGCCTTCTTCGCTGCTGCGAGCGCGGGTCGCGCCTGCCTCCGCGGGCCCCGGCAGCAGCCCCGCGCGCACGAGCAGCGCTTCCTTCGCGGCGTCCGAGAACAGCTTGGCCGCCGCGCCGCTGCGCCGCTCCGCCAGCTCGGCGCGCAGCTGCTGTGCGGGCGTCAGCGCCCGGAGAGGAGTCTGCTGCGCGACGACGGATGACGTGGCGTTCGAAGAGGGGGATACTTTCTGTCCGACGCACGAGGGGGAATTTTCTGAGAGGCTGACGATGCGCGAAGGGGAGGGGGCACGCGCAGATTGCGCCGATGAGGGGGTTCGGAGCGCAGAGGTGGAGGCGGGGGAAGACACGGAGACTGCGCTAGCCCGATGTGCAGATCGGCGCACACGAGACAGCCGCGGAACGGAGGGGGGGCTTCCGCCAGCGGTATCCGCGCTGGCTGCGGGGGAAAGCGCGGAGGACCTTTGCGGGGAAGACGCGAACTCAGAGTCCGCCCCCTCATTGCCGACCGGTAGCAGCCCCACGCTTGCCGCCTGCGACGCAGTAGACTCCTTCTGCGGCGACTGTGCGATGGCCGGCGACTGGTTCTGCGACTGGGCGTTGGGCGACAAGAGAGTGAAGCCGTCGAGTCCGGCCTGCTTGAGAAGCGCGTCGCCCGAGTTGGCGGCGTCCGCCGGGGGGTTAGAGCGAGACCATGGCAACACCTCGCTGAATAGCCGCTGCCCCGATAGCAGATCTTGAATCAACGAGAACGCTCCCGCGGATGGCGGGGCGCCGGAAGAGGCGGAGGTGACGGAAGACGCGGGTTGCTGGTTCTCCGCGTTTGACGGCGAGGTTGGCGCTGGCGGTCTGGAGCCGAGAACTTCAGGAGACGAAGGGGTGGTGGAGAGCGTGGGCTGCGTGACCGTGTCGTACATCTTGCGGATGGTGGGCGGCTCGTACGCGCGGATGCCGCGGCCGCTGATGAGACCCGCGTGCTCTCTGTCCTCCTGCTCGTGCATGTGGTGCAGCTGGAATGACAGCTGCATGTCTTCTTGCTTTACCTTTTGGAACCGCTCTCTTATTATCGCGATGTCGGCTTTAAATTCCGCGAGTTCTGCTTTTCGCCTGCGACGATCCGCGTCGCTGACGGTTAGGAGAGTCATTGGTGACTGCCTCGCTTGAAGAGCTTCGATATCCATTCGGCAGCGAGACTAAGACGAGAAACTAGAACGATGACTAGTCACAGGATAAAAAGAGACTACAGGACTACGTAACGACAATAATGTGAAGATCGAAGAACGTGGGATAGTGTGTCTGGTTCGCCAAGGGCTGGGTTTGACTGGTGCGGAGAGCGGGACAGCCAAGGAGGAACGAAAGTGACAAGCAGAATGAACCGAGAAAAAAAAGGTTTGGTTGGGTTAAGCTTGTTATAGTTGGGTGGGGTGGAGTGACGCACGGCATAACACGAAAGTTCGGGTCGTTGAGTTGGGAAAGGGTCGTTGAGGTGGGAAGGGAAGAAAGGGACGGTCGCGAGGGGAGCACGAAGGGCGGCGCTGGAAGGAAAGCGACTCGAGAGGTTGATGTGGGCGACTCGTGATCCGACGGCGACGTGTTTCGGACATTGGATGGCACGGATGGGTGGAACTGACTGGTAGCAGCGGAGTTGGCGGGAAGGGGTGACTGGAGAATTTTGTTTTCGCTATGGTATGCTTCGGCTGCGTTGAGTTCTGATCCTTTTTTAGCGCTTAATATACCTTTTCCAACGCAGCCTGAAAGAGTGTACTTCAAAACTGGTTCATCTTCAACGGTCAATACCGATTGCGTGGGCTTGCCTGTGCTCCCTACAAATTGCGCCCCTTTCCAGCACATTCTCGAGGGTGAGGGGGTGTCGCATGCAGATGCGACGATACTCGTAAATTCGCATGTGACGGACGGGCCACCTCTGTGACACTCGCGCTTCGTGGCAACCGTTTGTAAATACGAGTTCTTTTTTTCTTTCTCTTGAAGGCACGCCGTTGGTCCTCCCCGCCCGGCCCATGGCGCAATCGCTGAAGCTCGTTCGTGATGTAGAGGACTCTCCTCTACTTTGCAGGAACTGGGAGTTGTTCTAAACAGTAGAGCACACTCTTGGCTTTCCAAGGAGCCGTAGAACACGTAATTCGCCCAAGTATCGGCTGAGATACGGCTTTCAACGTGCTAGGTAGTGCTCTAAGATTGAAGGATAGAAAGTCTCTGGATTTTGTGTCGAGTTGAATTGTGTATAGAAAACTCTGATTTTCAGTATATCATGCATACAAAGCAATCACAATATATAGCTACTCAAAACATCGAGTCGCGCATGTAACATACGAGATGCATCGAGAACATTCGCGTAACAATTCGAAGGGGTGAAAATCGGCACCCGAATTTCACCGAACCGAATTCTTCCTTAGTCTCGATCCTTCTTGTGTTGCCATGTGGCACCAATTGAGTGGGTCTTCCGAAGTCAACCCACACACTTCGTGAAACCTGCAGCTCTCTCAAGCGGTGAGCACCGAAACACATTCGGTGGGTTGGGGACATATCAATTGCCCCACCACCGTTTGCTTCTATCACCGGCGCGCTGCATCGCGCGCAGCTGACGCGCGCCCATCACCGCTTTCCGCCTTTTCCATTCCCCCGTCGCCCCCGATATCCGCCTTCCGCAACACAGCGCCCTCTCCGCTTATACTACCACGTCTTCCGCCGCCTTGCGCGGGCAGCCCCCTGCCCGCCAACCTATGCTCAACCAGCGGAATAGAACTATGCGCTTTGCGCGCGCGGCATCCCCGCGCACTAGCCGCAGGGCGTTCCTCTAATCGCCTCCGCGCCCCCTTTACCGGCTCGTTCGCCGCTGCGCCAGTCCTCTCCTCCGCCACCGCACCACTCACCGCTCCCCCCGCCATTTCCGCCTTCCGCCACTTCCTCGCCGCGCCCGCGCCTTCCCCTTCACCATCCCTTCCGCCACCACCCGCCGTGCATTCCCGCGCAGCTGCGACCACTGGCGGAAAGGGGATCAGCGGGGCCACAGGCGGGGGAGGAGTGCGCGTGAGGGGGATGAGCGGGGGGAGCGGGGGAAGCGGGGGGAGCATCTATGTGAGGTCGACGCGAGAGCCAAGCGGGTTGGCATCCGTGCCGCTGGTGCCGCTCGTTCTCGGTCTAGCTGGCGCCATCCCATTCGTCGCCCTCGCGTCGCCCATATGCTCTCTCGTTCCGCTCCCTGTCAGTACCCCTCCTCTCCTCCTCTCCACCTCTCCTCTTCACCTCTCCTCCTCTCCTCCCGTCGCGATCACTCAACTGCCATACATCCCCTTGGCCCCTAGGCCCTTTCCCTCCCGTCCAGCCCCCTCCCCCACCCATTCACCCTCCTTCACCTCTCCTTTTCCCCCTCATCCCCTCGCTGCGACCCATCCCTCGCAGGAGCTGCTGGCGGTGCAGCCGGCAGCAGCGCAGGCGGCGTACGGGGCAGCCATTCTCGCCTTCCTGGGAGGGCCGCACTGGGGGCTCGCCATGGCCCGATACGCCGCCAGTCAGTGCTGCCAACCCTCGCCCTCCTTGTCGCCCCTCGCCCTTATTTCTTCTTCCCTCTCACTGCGCACTGGGGGCTCGCCATGGCCCGATACGCCGCCAGTCAGTGCTGCCGCGCCTTGCTTTCCCCCCCGCCTGCCGCTTCCCTCCTCCTTCTTGCTGCTTTTTTCTGCCCCTGACTTTTGCGCTGCTGCCACCCGTGCCAGCGCTGCCCGTGCCAGCGCTGCCCGTGCCAGCCCTCTTAACCACCTCTTTGTTCATCCCTGCCCTCACTGCCTCCCTCCTCTCTCCACCTTGCCCCCTCTTCTCTCCTCCCCTCTTCCTTCTCTTCTCCCTGCCCCATGTGCCGCACCCAGCCACGTCAGAGGCGAGTCTAGGCAACTTCTCAGTGTCAGCTGCACGGTGAGTGCTGTGCGGTGTTGTGTGGTTCAGTGCGGTGCAGTGACTACTGCGCGTCGAGTGAGTTCTGTTCACTATTCTCCATCTCAGCCAGCCGTCTCTCTGCATCGATTCCTAGATCTATCCTTCAATCTCAGCCGTCCATCTCTCTCCCCATATCCACCATCATCGCACGGCAGATACACATGGAGTGTGGCGCCATCACTGGCGGCATGGGTAGCGCTCCTGCTGCCAGAAGGGCCCAAGTTCGCCCTCCTCCTCTCCTCTTTCCTCCTTGTACGCCCTCCATCCCTCTTTCGCACCCACTTCCCCCTTCGTCCACGTGCCGGCCGTGTGATCATGCTCCAATCCCGGCGCAGCTTTCGCCATATGCAATCTAGATCTATCATGCTCCGTTTGCACATCCCAACCTGTCCCTTTGCTCGCTCTCTCTCTCCGGTGTGTGAGCAGGTGTTGGGAGGGGACACAGTCTTTGCCCGCATGGCTTTAGTGCCCTCATGGTACGCTACGCTCCTTCCTGCCAATCCACATCCATGCGACTTCATTTCCATTCCCATGCTGCAATCATCCATGCTGGATTCTTCCATACGGCACCAGCATAACATGCCGGCCTTTGTCATCCTTTGTCTTATATATGGCTCCTGCTCCCAATGATCCTCAGCCTGTCCCCCTGCCATTCCCGCCAGGTACCTGCCTCTCCGAGTGTTGCTCTCCTCCATCGCCCTCCTCAGCCTCGCCGCCACTGCATTCACCATCGTCACTGGCGCTGCCATCTCCCAATCACCCCCTCCTGCCGCTCACTCAACTGTCGCTCCCTCTCTCGCTGATCAACAACCCGTCCACTCCTCGCATCCCTCGTCCTCTCCACCTCATCCGCCCATCCTTCATCCTCTCACTCCTCTTCCTCAACCAAGTAACTGGATGCTCCCGTACTGTGCAGGATGGATGGGCAGATCTCATAAACACACTGATGCGTGCACGGAAAACGTTGAGATCAGCTCATGCTAGCGTACCGCTATGTTTACGTAAGGCCCCCTCTCTGTCAGAACATGGAGGGCCAGGCCAATCCACCAGCCATGTTAAATGAGAACAAGGCGATGAACCGTACATGGATGTCCTCCTGCTACCTATATCGTACCAATAAGTGCATGTTCCTGCAGCCTCTTATCAGGCAAACCACTTGTCATTGTCAAGGCTCGTGTCGCACTTGCTGAAAGGCGTGCCAGCTACGGTAGGTACCGTACGTCTCTGGTCTGAACAAAAGAACAGAGCCTACGAGGAGCAGGAGATCGAGGGCCACTGAAATGTCAGATTTGTTGCAAAATCAATGCAAAGGCAGCGGATTTTCAGCTATGTGCCCTTGTTCAGGACGTTTGTAGCCAGAATCCTCAGTAGGGCCCTCTGAAAGCAAATGTATATGAGTGAGGCATTACAATTCCCAATTCATCCTCTCACTCTTCCTCAACCTAGTAACTGGATGCTCCGTACTGTGCAGGATGGATGGGCAGATTTCATAAACACACTGATGCATGCACGGAAAACGTTAAGATTAGGTCATGCTAGCGTATGCCTACGTAAGGCCCCCCCTCTGTCAAAACATGGAGGGCCAAGCCAACCCACCAGCCATGTTATATGAGAACATGGCAATGTACATGGATGACCTCCTGCTATGTCGTACAAATAAGTGCGTGTTCCTACTGCCTCTTACGGTATCAGGCGAGCCACTTGTCATTGTCACACTCATGTCGCACTTGCTGAAAGGCGTGCTACGTCTCTGGTCTGAACAAATCATAGGGCCCACGAGGAGCAGGAGATCGAGGACCACTGAAATGTCTTATTTGTTGTAAAGTAATCGCAACTGCAGCGGAAGTTAGCTACGTGGCCTTTATCCTCTGAAGGGCACTCTGAAAGCAACACCGGTGTATATCTTCAGTGCCAGTCATAACATTTAGCAATACTCCAGGCCATTTATTTAGTATAACATGTATATAATATAGGTAGCTATTGCTGCTACCGTATTCTTCTATTGTTACTCACCTATAACGTCAACCAGGTTGGCCTGCACTGCTCTGCATGCAGATTCAGCAATTTATGCCAAATCATAAAATTCCAACTTTCAAAACCACTTCCGCCGACGTTTTGGCATGAGCCCTCGATATCCCGAGGGCACAATCAGCCGCAACTCGAGCATCTCCTTGCACAATCTCAACACATCCCTCCCTCCGCTTCCTTTCCAACCAGCCACACCTCCTCTCTCCCCACCTCCTTCCCCCGCGCTACTTTCAATCATCCCAGTCAGCCGTCCCACGATCCGAGCACTAGCCTCCACGTGGCGCTCGTCTAGTGGTCGGCTCCACAGGAGCACAACCAGCTGGCGCTTGCGTTGGCGCGATGACGTGGCAATGCCCCATTGGCGGAAGAGGTCGAGGCGGTGGTGGAGTGTGAAGCAATGGGTCATACGCTGGGCTAGGTACTCCCTCTCCTTCCTCAGCTCCCTCTCCCTGCTATACCAGCCATGACAGAATGATGGAATGATGGGAAAAGGACAAGGGTATGGGAAGGGGTAATATAAAAGATTGAATCCAGACCATCGGCGCAGAGCAGAGAAAACACCGAGAGCAAGTAAAACGGGATGAGACCATCAGCACTCACATTTGGCGCTTTCCTCTTCCTCCCCAAAACTGCATGCATTATCGTGCACTCACACGCCAGTTACCCTAGGAAGAGAGGAGCTCACCTGGCCGCGTGCCCTGCTTCCCCCACGTGCTGTACGAGCCACTGCAGCCTGCAGGAGTTTTGTTTGTAGTATTCTCAGAAATCACCTGCAACCCAAAGAGGAGCTCACCTGGCTGCGTGCCCTGCTTCCCCCACGTGCTGCACAAGCCACTGCAGCCGGCGCCTCTCCACCTGCAGGTACACCCGATCCGACGGCTCTCCTTGCATCAGCACGAGGAACAGCTGCGTGCGACGGATGAGCGACACCTGGCAGCGGTCCCACAGCACCACGGTCTCCCTCATCTCCTCCCTGAAGTCAGCTCCAAAGTGTGTAGGAGTCAAAGAGGAGGGATGAATGCTGCCGGGTGCTGAAGCATGTCCGGCTGTTGTTCGGTTCCACCGCCCTCTTCCTTCTCTACTGCTCACCACCACCCTTTCCTCTTGCATATTCTGACTCCAGCGTGTGTTAGCATTGACCTCTCTTCCCCCCTGTGCTCTCCCCATCCCTCTACCCTCCTCCTCATTGCCCCAGCCCCCATCCACCACTCCCTCTCCCGCCTCCTCCTCATCATCCTCCTCCATCTCATCCTCTTCCTCCTCGCCCAGTCGACCCGCCTCCAGCTCCACCACCTGCTTCACCAGCAGCTGCTTCTGATAGTGCAGCTTCGCTACAATCTCCTTCAGTTCAAGCACGTACGTGCGGATGCTCGCCACGTTCACCTCGGCTGCCGACTGAAACAGAAACTCCATCCGCTGAAGATCCTGGGAGGAGGACCGGGTCATGCCAGAAGGGTCTGCCAGGCATCCCATGTCAAACCCCATCCCAGCAGCCCCGGCGCCAGCAGCAGCTTGAAGCTCCCTCACGCCCTCCGCAGCAGGAAAAGCAGCAGCCTTTGCAGCAGAATCATCGTGATCACCAGCAGCAGAAGCAGCAGCCGCAGAAGCTCCGTTGCTCCCTCGCTCCGCGTCCTTCTCATCTCTCACTGTGAGCCTCGAGAGCTCTGCATGCAGCTGGAGCAAGCTGGCGGGTTGCAGCAGCTCGGATATCGAGCCACGCCCTTCCTCCCCATCCCTGCTCGCACCACCACCAGTAGCCCCCTGGCTTGCACTCCCCATTGCAGTGGCAGCACCAGTGCCAGCACCAGTGGCAGCAACAATGCCAGCAGCAGTGGCAGTAGCAGTGGCAGCTGCCCCACCAGCAATGGCAGCAGCGCCACCAGCAGCAGACAAGCAGCCTGACACAGGCTGGGAGGCGAGAGAGGGCGTGAGAAGGCCAGAGAGCTGGTGAGAGAGGGGGGTGAGGAGGCCAGACGCGTAGCAGGAGGAGATGTTGGAGGAGGGGGTGAGGAGCCCAGACACGCAGTGGCCCGGGGGCGTTAGGATCCCAGAGAGGTGACTTAGAGGCGTTTGAACACCTCCCTCTGACAGACTCTCACTCTCCTGCCCCTGCCCGTGCCCCTGCCCCTGCCCCTGCCCGTGCCCGTGCCCGTGCCCGTGCCCCTGCCCGTGCCCGTGCCCCTGCCCGTGCCCGTGCGCCTGCCCATGCTGCCTGGCTCTCATGCGCTCCATCTCCCCCTGCAGCGCCCCCATGGCCCGCCCCACGTCGTCCCCAAGAGCGTCCTGCAGCTTCTCCAGGCGTTGAATCTCCTGCATCAGAGACAGCACCTTGGCACTCACCGCCTTGCGCCGCCGCCGCCTCTCCCTCGCCCTGTCCCCCGCCACCCACGCTTCCAGCGACTGGAGCGAATGGAGGGACTGCAGGGACTGGCGGGACACACTCTCTCTGCCAAACGAGTCTCCCTTGTCCCGTCCAAGCCTCCCGCTCCTCCTCTGGCTTAGCTCTCCCTCTGCGTCCTCCTCTCCCTCGTACTGCTCCCACTGCCCTCCTCTCTCCCTCCCTCTAGCACTCTCCTCCCATGTCATCCGTCCACTTGAACGCGCCTGCTGCTCTCCTCCCCTCCCAGCCAGCCCCATGGCCGCTTCACCAGGCCCGCCTCTCTCCCTCGTCCCTCCCATGCTGCTGCTGCTGGCAAATCTCGACTTGGAAATCCCGCGGGTTTGACCGTTCCCTGCAGCATCGCAGCCACTGTTACTAGAGGACAACCACCTGCCGCCCACAACCAGCCCACCTGCCAGCTGTGCCACCCCTTCCCCAGGCGCTACCTTCCCATCCATCACCCCCTGTGTGTGCATGCCGTTCGCATCGGCTGCAAGAAATGCAGCAGGTGGAGGAGAAGCAGCACCAGCAGCGGCGGCGGCGGCGGCAGCGGAGGGATGAAACGAGGCGTCTTTCCCCCTCTGCTGCTTGCTTGGTCTGGGTCGCCTGGTGAAGCTACCGGGGAAGCATGTGGGCAGGACGAGATCCAACGGCTTGGATGCTGGGAAGCAGGTTGGCGTGAAGCGATCCCAGCCGTCCGCCTCATCATCGGATGATTCTGAGCCGTTGATGCTGGAGATTGGGTGCACCTGCAGGGAAAGGGGGGGAGTGCAGGGGGGAAGAGTGCAGAGGGGAAGAGTGCAGAGGGAAAGAGTGCAGAGGGGAAGAGTGCAGAGGGGAAGAGTTCAGATACAAAGAGTGCCGAGTCAGCACAGTTACAACAGTGCAAAGAGGGATAAAGAAGCCACTCTTGCCATCCACCCCACCCCCCATGCTCTCATTCAAGTAAGTGCCACCCCTCTGACCCCATTTCTCCCAAACGCTCTCTCACCTTGCCACCTCCGGGTAAACCCTACGCGGGTGGCAGCAGGTGAGAGCGCGTGAGTGAGAGAGGAGCGTACCTTGCCGCTCTGCCAGGCTGCCTGCGCCCGTCGCCTGCCGTGGGACCCGCCTTGGGAGCGGCTGTGGCAGGAGGAGGCAGCGGAGAGCGCGTGTGTGAGGTGCTGCACCTGCGCCAGCGCCTCGCTCTGCTGCCTCGCTGCCTGCGACAGCTGCGCCTCCAACTGCCGTGTTGGGGAGGGGAGGGCGGCGGGGGGAAAGGATAGGGAGGGGGGGAGAAGGGTGGGGGAGGGCGGAGGAAGAGGAACCAGGGGGTGCGTGGGGTAAAGGCGAAGGGAGGAAACGTGGTGGTTTACTTGCATTCGATATTGAGTGGGGGGGCGGTGGGAGGCCAGCGAGGGGGGGTGGGGGGCGGTGGAGAGGGATGCAATATATTGCAGTGTGAGATTACCGGCAATGCGAGAACTGTAGGTTCGTTGTGGCAGGTATGGCAGCAGACACAAGCACGGGAGTGACATGTTGGCGTAGTATGAGCGAGAGGTTTCTCAGGGCGTTGCCTCTACTAGTGCATGGCTCTGCTGCTTACCCGCCCTTCTCCCCTGACCTCCCTCACTCCAGGACCCACACCATTGCCTCCTCATTGTTCCCCCTCTCTCCCCCACAGCCCCACCCCGCGTTTCTCCCTCTCCCAATGCTCCTGTTGCTCACGTGCGCACCTGCTGCACGCCTCTCACACGCGCGCACCTGCTGCACGCCTCTCTCACGCGCGCACCTGCTGCACGCCTCTCACACGCGCGCACCTGCTGCACGCCTCTCTCACGCGCGCACCTGCTGCACGCCTCTCTCACGCGCGCACCTGCTGCACGCCTCTCTCACGCGCGCACCTGCTGCACGCCTCTCTCACGCGCGCACCTGCTGCACGCCTCTCTCACGCGCGCACCTGCTGCATGCGCACAGCCTGCTGGTGGAACTGCTCTTGCGATCATTCCCTCCGTCATTACGCCCCCTTCTCTCTCCCTTCTCACTCCCACGGCCCCACCTCGCATTTCTCCCTCCCCTCTTTTACCTGGTGCATGCGCACAGCCTGCTGGTGGAACTGCTCGGTCGACGGGCGCAGCCTCATCTCGCCCTCCAGCCGCGCCACCTCCCTCTGCAGCTGCTCCACCAGTGCCCGGTCCGTCACCACCTGGTGGGGAGAAGAACGGGAGCGGATAAGGGAGAGAAATGGACGGAGGGGTTTAGGGAGAGGGATGGAGGGACACGGTAAGGGGGCACGATGACAGGAAGAAGAAGAAGCTGCGCCACCTCCCTCTACAGCTGCTCCACCAGTGCTCGGTCCGTCACCACCTGGTGGGGGACGAGGTAGGGAGGGAGGCGATAAGGGAGAGGGAAGGCAGATGATAAGGGAGATGGGGAGGAAAGAAGTGATGCGCCACCTCCCTCTACAGCTGCTCCACCAGTGCTCGGCCCGTCACCACCTGGTGGAGGAGAGAGATGGAAGGAAGAAAGAAGAGGGAGAGGGACGTAGCGAGGGGATAAGGCGATGTGCACTCACACACATACACACGGCACACCCCCACCCCACACATACCCACACTGCGCACCCCCACACACCCACACTGCGCACCCCCTCTCACCCACACTGCGCACCCCCTCTCACCCACACTGCGCACCCCCTCTCACCCACACTGCGCACCCACACACACCCACACAGCACACACCCCCACTGCGATGATCCCTGCACAGCCACTCACCACGTTGACACATGCCGAGTTGGTGACCTCCTTGGCCCTGAGTGCAAACGCGAGGGTGTTGCGCGTCTGCTCCAGGTGAGTCTTGCCCGCACTAATAGTCGTGATGATGGCCGTGCGCCCGTTGCCCCCCAGCGACTGCTGCAGGATACGCGTGAGCTTCGAGTCCCGGTAGGGGATGTGCCCCGCCTTCGCCCTGCTGCCCGTGCTGCTACAGGGAGAATGTGCGAGGGAGAAGTGGGAGGTAAAAGATATTAGATTGTTCGACAGAAGTAAATAGCCGTAGGCAAAGTCTCGTCTTGTTGATGTATCTCTTGTTTCAGTACAGGCACAGTGAAGACTCTATTTCCCCCCTGCGCCTGCCTCTGCCTCTGCTTCTGCTTTATTTTGCAAAGAATAGCAGCTCGGATAGCACTCGTTAACAGTAGTCCTCTCAGCACAGCAGCGTGAGCAGCGTGCGTACCTCAACTTGCGGATAACGGTAGCAAGGGTGAGCAAGCTCCTGTTGATGTGGCACCCCTCCTTGAGGCGCGTGCCCGCCACGTGCGTCTGAGACGCCCTCTCACTGCCCGCCAGGTCCACAAAGTTCTGATGCAGCCACGTGGCATAATTGGATTGAGAGGGGCCAAGAAGCGGAGGGGGATGGAGCAGAGACCGGGCGGAGACGGGTGGAGGTGAAGGAAAGAATTGGAAGGGAAAGGAGAAGACAGGCGAGAAATCTGTATAAGAAGAGGTGCTGGGAAGCCAGGGCTAGAGGGGTGCTGATGTGGGTTGGGGGGAGAAGAGGTTGGGGAATAGGGGAGGGAGGGACGATGCATTTAAGAAGCAAAGGCAAGTTGAGTTTTGTATGGCATGACAAGGCAAGTAGTGCCGGACTCTCATCTTTCAGTCAAATGTGAAACAAGACAGAAGGGAGCAAACTACTTACCAACGAAGCCGAGAGCATTTGGGCGGCAGCAGCATCTGCAGGCAATGACGTGGCTGGTGGAGGCGATGGAGGTAGTGCCGCTGGTGACACCGCACTGGGACAGCTCTCCACCAGCTGGAAAAATGAGAAGAAGAAGAAAAAAAGGGGGGATCGGGAAAACTTGAGAATGTGAGAAAAGGAAGGTGTGGGAAGATAGGTAGGGGGAGGTTACGGGAGGGAGGCACGACAGCAACAAAGGAGTGTAGGAGCGTAGTGAGAAACACACACACACGCACACACGAACACACACACGCACACACACACACACGCACACACACACACACACACACACACACACACACACACACACACACACACACACACACACACACACACAGAGACACAGACACAGACACAGACACACACACACACACACACACCCACACACACCCACACACACTCATCCAACACAAACATGCACTGACAGCACACAGCAAACTCACCAGGCGAATGATTTGGTGCGATCTGGAGCTGGCATCGTTGAGGGACGTCTCGCCCACCTCCCTGTGCGCCGCACACTGCGCCAACAGCTGCTGCAACTCCCCCTTGGACTCCACGCCCACCTCCGTCAGTCGCTCCACCACTGTGCCCCTCTGCACGCAAGGGATGGTGGGAAGAGGGCAGGGGGGACACGTTTTATTTGGTCAATTCAGCTGCTGCAGCTCCCCCTTGGACTCCACCCCCACCTCCGTCAGTCGCTCCACCACTGTGCCCCTCTGCACGCAAGGGATGGTGGGAGAAAGGCGGGAAGGGAACGATTTATTCGGTCACTTCAGCCTGCAGCTGTTGTGAGGGTACATAGCGTTGATTATTGGGTCGGCAATGGTCAAGCGGAAGGGGAGCTTTGGGGCTTATGACCAGCCGCACACGGGCATTACGGGATCGTCATGGGTCAAATGCGTGAATTTGAACTGCATGGTAACCATGACAATGCAGGTCATCCGGAGGTAACCATGACAATGGGATCACCTTGGGATTGTCAGGAAGATTCAAACAATGCACATGGTTACCTCGGGATCATCTAGGAGCCTGAGGGGCCCGGAGTCGGGGTTGAGGAGGTCCCTGACAATCTCGTTGTAGATCTCAATCGCTGACAGCTTCACCTGGAAGCTGCGATGCGGGTTCTGCTCAGATTTGCACATTGCGCATCCATACAGACATACACGCACGCGCGCACACACACACACACACACACACACAGCTGATAACGTGATTGACTGTGCTGACAAATGACATTGTTAATGTCCACGAAGTCAAGTGATGATTGTGATGTTCATGATAACATGTAACGTTGCGAACTTGGAGATCGAAACACGACGTGCTTGAACAGAACCACTGTGTCAGTGTTCACGAATTAAGACTGGAAGCGCCAGCGTCCATGAACTAATATGAGTTCGTGAATATCCATGACACCGAACTGACATGGTGAATGTTCGTGAAGACAACTGACATTGCGAATGTCCGTGACGGGAACTGACATAGTGATGTGAGGCCCTTGAAGACTGACATTGCCAGTCATGACGATAACTGACGTTGACAGTGTTCATGAAGAATGTGGACCCTGCATGAATTCAACTATTACTGTGCATGTTCACGAGCTGACCGTCAATGTGACATTGGGGATGTCCATGAAGATAACAGACAATTCTGATGTGCATAATAGAAACCGGCATTGTGAATGTCCATGGAAACCATCTGACGGTAGAAAAGTCGGTGAAAACAAGTGACAGAATCAATGTCCCTGAAGAGAGAATTGACATTGTGAATGTTTCTGAAAAACAATTGCACTGGGAATCCCGTGAAGACAACTCACATTCTGAATGTGCGTGAAGATGTCGCAAGCGGCAAGATCAGTAATGGCCTCCATTGTGTAAGTCTTCCCACTGCTTGTCATGCCATAGGCAAAGATCGAGGCTGGAAACACAAAGTAGCGGCAACACACAGAAAACAGAATGAACGCTTCTCGTGATCATGCGCACAGAATGCACAAAGAAAATCACGAGACCGTGGTACGAGTGCTACAAGGGAGATAACGCACCGTTGATCCCGGACAGCGCTGACAGCACGATGTTCTTGGCTCCTTCCGCGTACACCCGATCCGATGGGCACGCGGGACCGAACGCACGGTCTGCATGCAGCATGACAAGATTGAGTCTTCAGACTTCAGTAATGCAGTCCTCCATGTATGTACATACCGCAACGCCTCCATGACAAGATCACTGCACTCGTGCTGCTTTTTTAAGCAGGACGAACAAGCGTAATCTGGGGCCGAACAGTCTTATAAGAGAGAAGATGGACAGATTTGAGCGCTTACCGAAAGTGTAAGCAGCCGGGTACGGCGACCGTTCGGGAAGCGGCTCCAGGAAATGAAGCGTGTTGGGTTCCTGAATCCGCCATACTACCCTATCCCCGCTAGCCGCCTCCTTCCTATTCAGCGGTCGAACGCGGACGGACACGAATATCTTCTCCGACGTGGCTTTGAGCCCAACGCTCGCTCGCGACACGGGTGCGATGATAGCTGCTTTCGCGTCAACTAATACGGGCGAAAGGGTCGCTTTAATGGAGTCGGGGGGAATGCTGTCCGGCGCTAGGCTAGGATCGGGTTCCATCCTCTCGTCAGGTCGCGAATCGTGACCGAGCTTCCATCGCCTATTAGACCACTCTACTTTACGGAATCTCTCCGGTTGAGACTCCTCGGACTTTACAGTCTGGCTGCTGAAAATGGCTCCACTAGCAGTCCTTTCGAAGCCAGTATGCTCGGATTGGTCCGGAAAATCTAGACTTCCACACGAGGACAGGCTCATCTGGCAGATGTCAGAATCGTCCATTGCGAGTAAAGCATGCAATTGTCTGAGGAAAGCATCTGGTGGGTTCACATCGATGGTTCTGCCGGAAAGCTATCGCCGGGTCTTGTAGGTGGTAGCACCAGACGTCGACAGTTTATGCTAAGCGCTCCATGAAATGCCATCGCATGGCTCTGGATCATATATGATAGACGGCGTTGATTCGATTTATGACGGCCTCATGAACATGTCTAGTGACTCCATGCGAATGTCGGTCTCCGAGACCAGGACTAGTTTGGCAGATGTCCGAATGTCGGGCGATTGTTACGTGCGACCGGCCACTCCAAGACCAAGACATGTTATAAGAAAGCGAGCGTAGCGTTGCGAAAGGCTGAGACGGCCGTTAGCTTTACGAACCGCGCCCGAGCGATGGCACGCCATGGACGAAACTCGAGGCACCCTTCGCATGACCACGTGCTCTTGTTGCCTCACTTTATTTCGCTAGAAAGTATACTGCGAAAACGACCATATGTGGCTGGAACATCCATGCAGGCCGATCCGGATGCCTTCCCATGGCGGCATTCTTCAGAAATAATAAAGCAGCAAAAATAGCATCTACAGGATCATGGTTCCATTCCATGTGATCGTTTCAATTCATGTCAGAGAAGCCAGCATACACTGAAGGGGTTTATTAAGGTATACCGCGTTCAAAAGCGTCACAGTGCGGTATTGAGCTCGAAATTGGCGACATGGTGACGGCAAGGAACGAAATCCGCCCCTTCCGCCAGAAGTGGAGGAGAGGATTAGCACAGCATCCGCTTCCGCCGACGCGGAAATGATTCCCCGAACGACCCCCCTTTCCTGCCATCGGCGGTGGTCCAGGCGGAACTGGGCAGATTTTGTATGTCCAACGGGTGGCATGGATGGCGGGTTTCGCATGGCATGCGATGGCGTGGGGTGGTTTGGGGTACGGCAAGCGGTGAAAGTTCTGCAGATTGGATTGCCAGTGCGAGTCGTCTGAAGTAGCTGTGCGACGCCTCAACTGTCGCGGACGTGAACTCTCTGCGAACTAGCCGCATCGCATTTCACAACACCAAGGCGCTGCTTCCATGTTCGTCCGTGCGGTTCGACATGCTCATGTGGAGTTCCATGCATGCAGGTACAAGTAGGCCCATGTGAGCCTGCTGCAGGGGGGAACCATGAAAGCTTCGTGATGGCGGGAACTCCATTCCACGAGACTCAATTGTGGAGGGGGGGTGCCGTGCACCTGTGTGGCAAGCAAAGTGGTTGACAACCAGAACTGTAGGCTAAAGGCTGCCCCGCTTCTGTAGGTCAGTATCTCTCAGTGTTCATAACCATAACGCACTGAACTCACATCATTTGTGTTTGTGACCATCTAACTTGGTGATACCGCCATCCCCCGGATAGAAGCTTAGGGAAAGAAAGACATAAATGAAAGAGAAAGGAAATGAAGAAAGCAAGGGAGAAGGAAAGTGAAACTGCCAAAAAGAACCCAAATGCAACACACATAAAACCCCCATCAAGATACCCAATCAAAACGCCTAGTCAAGACACCCCATCAAGACATCCCATCCCACACCCCATTCCCCCCCCCCCCCCCCCCCCAATCACAACAGCGTATCGACCATGTACGGGGCCTCCACCCAGAGAGCCCCGCCTTCCACATCGACATCGTCCCTCTCCCGGTCCACCAAATCTACGTTAATCCCCCCCATGGAAGACGCCGCTCGAAGCAGGATGACACGGGCTTGCGCACGTTGTAACGCCACCCCGATGAGCGCCTTCAGTGACCCTAAAAGATAAGCCGAAAACACAGAAGCCTAGGCCTACCGTATGTTACACCCATGCGCTTATTATTGGACTAGTGCTCTTATCTCCGGTTGCCTATGATAGGCCCACCCTAATTTCGGACCATCTTCGTACCGTATGTGTTGTGTGCCTATGTATGAACGCAAGAGGCCAAACGATACCGTATGATTCATATGACTCAGATGATGGGCTGGCAAGTGGTGGGTTGGGTTGATTGGAAGTGTCATTTTCTGGGTGGCAATAATGTTTAATCATAAAGATGGGCAAATGGTTCGATAGTATAACAGGCTGGACGTTTTCCATAAGTTGTAATGGTGATTACTTGATGGTACACAAGGGATTTGCACTCTGCAACAGAAGTGTAGAGGAACAAATGCAAGGTGAGCAGCAGCACACCAGCATGCGGTGTAAATGTGCTTCAGGAAGGAAGCACAAGGGCATGAATGAACAATGGCAGTCTAAAAAACTGCTCCAATTGATTTACTTAAGGTGTAGTAGTACTAGTAAAGTGACCCTCCATATCCATTACCCTCTGCCACTCCTCCATCCACCGCCACCACCACCACCACCGCCACCTCCCCTCCTGTTTCCCCCATATCCTCCTCCCCCACCGCCACCAAACCTGCCACGACCACCACTGCCCCCTCCTCCCCCTCCCCCTCCACCTCCCCATCTTCTCGGGCCTCCGGGACTGGAAGAAGACACAAGCCATATGGGAAGTTGGGAGGGACACGAGAAATGGGAAGAGGTGAGTGCGGAGAGGCGAGCGCAACAGACAGAGAAGGCAGAGATGAGAGGCAGGTGAATAGACGAGGGTCCGCTGGGGAGAGGTTGAGGAAAGTGAGAGGGAAGTGGGCGTCATCAGGGGAAATGCGATCAGCACCGTTGATTCATATTGCGCACATCACAGTACATCTGGCCCATTCATGGGACACAGACGTCAGCGCAAGTTGGGTCATCCCTTCGCAAGAGAAGAAAGATGGCGACGGAAAGAGGCAAGATGGGATGGGCAGGCTGAGAGAAGGTTGCTCAGAGAGGGTAAAGACACGAAGGTGGCCGAAAGGCTTCCAAGTGAAAGTGAGCAGCTGGGTGGGCAAGCCAGGAGACGTAGATCAGCAAAGCTGCGATCAGCACCGTTGATTCATATTGCGCACATCACGGCACATCCGACCCGTTACAGGAATGCAGATGTCAGCGCAAGTTGGGTCATCCCTTCACAGCTCATTGTCAAGCCTACACTCACTCTAGACAAGCAGGCATCATGGCAACATCATCACATCAGGAGTTGCTGGAAGCGTTAGAGGGGATGCAACAAAAGAGAGATCAAGCCACGTAAGAGAGATCTTCCTGCGTTTCCCTCCTCGCACCAATTTCTGTGATATGAGCGCACCCTCACCTGTTGCCGCCGTGCGCCCAAGCTATTCCCATGCGCTGCGCCTCACCTGTTGCTGGTCATGGGCGCTTGCTTGAGCTCGGGAAGCGTCTTCGCCTCCTCCACCTGGATATTCGACATCCCGTTGCTCGCCGCT